GCCGGTAGGTTGTGTGGGTGGGGTGTGTTGGGAGGTTTGCTGTTGCTTAGAAACTCTGTAATGCAGAAATAATTAATATCATTTTTCAGCACTACACACGCTCTGGGCCTCTCGCAGGAGAGGTCCCAAATTACCTTATTGTTGTGGTTATGCCCCCTCACCTGGCCTCTGTAGGTCCACGGTTCCTGTATTAGCAGTATGCCCAGGTCTTCCGTGGCAAACCTGCTCGCAATGACCGCCGAGGCGGCCACCGCGTGATGCAGATTGACCTGGGCTACCTCTACTGCTGGTGTCTTCATAATTGGGGCTCGTCCTCGATATCCGAGAGCCGCGCGTCGCTCTCGCTTCCTCTATCGAGTTCGAGCCTGCCAATGTCAGCTAGGAGCTCCTGTGTGGTGCGCGAGGCCTTTTGGCCCGGAACTCACCGGAGCTGGTACCTGTGCAGGTTCTGTTGTCTGGTTGGCTGGTGCCAGTGCCTGTTCTGACAGCTCTGACAGACTCTGACTCCTTGCGGCCTGTCGTCTTTTGTCGCCACGGCCTCACCGAGACGTAGCTGTACCGGAAATTTATGTGGAATCCGGCCCTCTTTATGCTGACGTACGACGCCTCGTCGATGCCCAGGTTGAGCCTGAGCCCGTTGTCCTCAGCGTCGCACGACACCACCTTCCACGCAGCCGTGTGGACACCCTCGTTCTGGGCCTGAATAAGCGCCAGCACGTACTCAGCCGATTTCTCGGCGCATCTAGGGAAGAACACCGAGATCGTGTGCACCGGCGGGATGTCCTCCCCCCTGTTCGTGCATAGCTCGGGTCCCTTCCACCCTTCAATAGCCGGTGCCTTTTCTGCCAGCCAGGCTGCAGTGCGCTCATCCTTGCAGTCCACAAGGAGAATGCCTGACCTGAAGAACAACCCCCCACAGAACACCACCTTTTTAGGACCTCGTCCATAATCACATCCTGGAGTCTGGTTAAGTCCTCCGGGCATAGAGCAGCTGCAGGGTAGTCACAGGGCAGCACAGCCACCCGGATGCCTTTGAGAGCATCAGAGTAGCTGGGCTGCTGAGTGGTTCCTTCCAGAGGCTGACCTTGGCCCGCAGACCCTTCTAGGCCCCTAGACTCTGTCTGAGGGGGTGTAGGCCCCCGCTGTCGCTTGGGGGTCGGTGGCTCCGGTGGTGTAACCTGTAAGCTGGTTCGCTTTGCTGAACCTGTGGAAGTTGCTGATGGGTTACCTATGGGTTCCCCGCCTCTCCGCCAATAGGCGGGCGCGGGTCTCTGCTGCTGTTGCCCGCCTCTCTGCTTTACAGCAGGCGCGGGTCTCTGTTGCTGTTGCCCGCCTCTCTGCTTTCAGCAGGCGCGGGTAGTTCACCTGAGTTGCTGCCATGCTGCCTAACAGCGGTAGCAGCCCTATTGCCTCTGCGCTTGCGCTCTTCGCGCTCACGTTCCTCGAGCTCCACCTCCTGCCGTACTTCCGCCATAGCGCGGGCTTCATCAGCAGATTTCCCCTGCCGAAGGTACCGAAGATACCACTTGACCCCCGACCCACCAAGTCCAGCTCGATGGTGGTCGTCAAGGGCTCCCGGTTGACGGGAGGGGGGTAGTGGAGGAGGTCTGCACCTGCGACTGCGTTTCTTACTCTCCTCTACATGCCACCCTGAACCTTGTGACGCTGTGGAGGTCCGACTGGGAGACCTACGGTGCCTACTTCCGGAACCGTGCCTGCTGCTGGAGCGATGTCTGCTCTCCGAGCGACGCCGGCCCCTGGACCGGCAACGACTCTCGGAGCGGTCACGACTCCTGGAGCGACGCCGACCTTCAGTTCGCTGCCTGCTAGCAGAGCGATGCCTGTTTTTCGGGAGTGATGCATCTGCTCCCTTGAGGCCTTCCGAAAGGCGCTGCGCCTGTGCTTGGCTTCTCTTCATCCCTGGCGTGTTCAATAAAGAGGGCAGCCTCTTCTTCGGTCAGGCTCTCAAGGAAGCTACCCCTGCGCCTGGTGCCTTTACCCCCGCCCAGCATGTTAATGCCGTGCGTGGCCGTTGCTGTTCTTTGCGCTGTTGTTGCTGTGTCCGCAGCAGTTGCAGTTGCTGTAGTTGTTGCTGTTAACGCTGTTGCAGCACTAGTTGCAGCTGTGGCTGTAGCTGACGTTGTAGTTGTCGCTGTCGCTGTTTTTGCGCTTGTTTTGCTGTTGTTGTTTTTGTTGCTTTTAATTGCTTAGTTGTAATCATCTTGTTCGTACGACTGCCTGCTCGACGAGGCGAGCTCAGCAGTAAATCTTGTTGAAGGGGATCTTATCTGGTCCGCCGCGCCAGCGCCCCATGTCGCGGTAAGGCCACCGTTACTCCTCGATGCGGCCCGGTGTCGAAGAGGCGCCGCTATACTACAGCCGGTTTATACCCTCCTGGCTGCAAACCGTCCAATAGGCACGGTGTCGCGTCACACCCTGGATTAGGAGGTGGCAGTTCTTGGTCACCGTTCGCCGGCAGCCCAAGTCTGGAGAAAAGGCAGCGCAGAAGCGACGAGCGCGTCAGCGATGCCCCTCATTAAGCAACCTCTGGACCAGACAGCGTACAGACAGGCCCTGAACGGCATTCACAGGGACTCAGTCTCGAGTTATGTAGACTCTAGACCTGTGAATGCCGTTCTAGGCATACCACCCCCGGACATAGACGAGACAGAGCTTCATCTGCCTCGGGAGACACGCACTACACTCGCACAACTTCGCTCCGGCTACTGCAGCAGGTTGAACTCCTACTTGAGTAGGTTGAATGAGGATGTGCCGTATGAATGTCCGGCATGCGGAGAGACCCCACATGACTCGAACCGTCTCTTCGCATGCCCGGAAAACCCGACAACCCTAACGGCCTTGTCCCTGTGGACAAATCCCACAGAAGCTGCACGCTTCCTAGGGTTGCCGTTAGTGGAACTTGACGACAACGACTGAGATACCAACCGATCTGGGCGGGGTTGTTGTAGCCGCTACAACAACAACAACAACAACCAGAAAGGGGCTGGTCGGCGATTCAGCGAAGCCCCCGCACCAACGGCAAGGTGCCTGCCCTAGCGAGGGAATAAATAGCGAAGAACAAGAACAAAAAGTAGAGCTGCCAAACGAATTAATAATGGCGTGGCGTGGAAACAGCGTGACCCCGAATTACTTAT